TATATATATTTTATTTATTTATTTATTTATTTATTTATTTATTTATATATATATATATAATATATATATATTTTTATATATATAATATGTATATATATACATATATATAATATATATATATATACATATATATTAGTATTAGCAAACTCAACTTTTTTAACTTATGGGCTATGGCCCAAATATATCCCTAAGCCCAACATAAAACCTAAAATCTAACATAATCAAATCTAAATGAGTCGGCGTCTAAAAGTTTCTAAACTAGTAAACATATCGACACATTTGACATTGACGGTCTCCAATTTTTGAAATCCCTCAAGAACTCTATCAATCTATTGATCTTTCCTAATCTATGGTTTGATTTCGACGCACATCATCAAGATATCAATCAAGTGATTCAACTCTTTCGATTCTAAACTCAATCTATTTTGTTTGGTCAAGAACTCAAGACTCAAGAATTGAAGGTTGTAAAGTCGTTGATTTTGTTACTCAATACTCATAGTAGAGTTGTAACTTTGTTAATTTGTTTGTTTTTTAACATGTATTGTATATTTATTTGTTTGGACTTTGAATTACTTGGATTTTGGACTCAAAAGCTGCTTAATTATTCATTTATTTGCTTTGGATATTTTGTTGTATTAAAATGGATATTTAATCTAAAATTCTAAATTATACATGTTTTTAAAGTTTAATATTTAAAGGCTCAAACCGCCTAAACCGGTAAGACCAGACCGCCTTTTCGTGGTCTGGTTTGACCGGTCTGGACACTTGATGTTAAACCGTTTGGTTTGAAATTTTTAATAAACCGCCATTACAATTTGGTTTGTGGTCTAAGAGGTTAAACCGCCTAAACCGGACCACAAAAACCCCTATAGTTTTAATAACAAAGTAATTTATTTTTGGTTTAATAATATAATTTTTTATAAAAATAATAATTAAACATTCTATTATAACTCAATAATTATCTTAATTATATTTTAGATTTTCTATATTTAAAATTAATGTTTATCATGTATTTGATTATGTTTATTTGCAGTTACTTACACGAATTTAAAAATAAAGTTTTAATAAGTTGTACTTACGCAAAATTATTGTAATATTGAATTTTAAGTAATATGCATCAATAAACAGTATTTCTTGCATAAAAATTAATTTTTAAGAGTTCTTGTCAAATGTTTTATAATATAATGTGTGTGTGTGTGTATTAGTATAGATAAGGGTATAAATGAAAAATTAAATAAATATATACAAGGTATAAAGCATAAGTTTTAAAAATAATTCACTATATATTTATGATATTTAATAATAGAGTTAAGTTAAAAATATTTGATATTAGGCTCATTTTGAAGTTATTATTGAAACAATTATAGATGATATAATTTGTAAAAAAGAAATGTATTTTAATTCATATATGAGTATCTATGTTAATATGATAAAAACGTAAAATGAAAAACAAAAAATAAAAAACTAAATGTAAAAGATATCAAATAAAGTGTAAAACTAATTAGAGTAAATTATGTTTTTCAATCCTATGGTTTGTTAAAAATTGCAGATTCAGTCTCTGTGGTTTTTAAATTTTGGGTTTTCATTTTTATGGGTTGCAATTCAATTTTATTTTCATCTTTGAATCTAAAACATTACTTTTAAATATAAAAGACTAAAATAAAAATGAATTGTAAACCATAGAGATGAAAAAGCAATAAATTTTCAAATCATAAGGACGAAAAAGGTAATGAATTATAAACCATAAGGATGAAAACCAAAACTTTGAAACCACAAGGACTAAAAACGTAATTTACTCAACTAAATTAAAAGGGTGGAAAGTGTAAACTAAAATTTAAAAATAATTTGATCTTTGAAACACATGGATCAGGGGTGTGGAAAGTTGGTTTTCATATATTTTAAAAAAGTCTCACTATTCATAAAATTTCAAGATAACTCAAATCTTGAGTCATTACAAGCTGCTCCAAAACTTATACATCTAACATAAAAATTTATACCTTTTAAAAATTCAAAACTAACTATAACTCCTTTTTCTTTTTATATAGTATATAGTTTCTTTTTATATAGTATAGACTATAGATATAGATAGTATAGAATAATGAAAATGTATGAATATAAACCAAATTAAATTATAGGTATCCATGATATTTAATATTATTCTGCTCAATTTGAAAATATTGACGAGACGATTATAATGGTATAATTTGTAAAAAATGAAACTTATTTTTTAAATTCATTTTACGATTATTTATGTTAATATGATAAGGGAGTAAAATAAAAAAATAAGGGATATGATATGTAATTTTGAATTCTTCATTGAAAGTGAAAGTAACCCAAAATAAAGAGTTTAAAAGGCTCAGATCTAATCTTAAGATTAATTTTAAGGAACAAGACTGAATCGGCAGTTTGTTAACTCACCGTGATAAATATTTGATCATAAAGATGAGTTGAGACAATTATCGCAAGGATTAGATCCATTTTTGCATACTCTTGGATTAAATGATTCCCCAAAGTGCTCCAGTAACATCTGTCTACGACATTTTTCCTGCAAACACACAAATTTTAAACTCATTTTCAGAAACAAGTAATCATGGGGCATGGATTCAACACAAGGCTTACTCTCTGTTCACAGTACTGTTGCATTTTCCGAGCTTGATCCATTGCCGTCTTGAAACCTTCTTTTTTTCGGCCTCCACTTCGTAACATGCACACAACTCTGCTAAAATCCTTCTTTTGATATAAAGCAATGCATTCTGAAGGCAGACTATCTCTTCCACCCCTTCCAGATTCCTGATAGTAGCTTTCAATAGACTTGGACAGTGTATTGTGAATCACAAACCGCTGAAAGCAAATGTTCGAAAACGTTAGATTTAAAAAGCAGCATGCATTTATACCAAATTAATGCACTTACGACATCAGGCTTGTCTATTCCCATGCCAAAGGCAATGGTGGCACACACCACATGCATCTCCCCTGAGTGCCATTTTTGTTGAACAGCAATTCTCTGACGAGCAGACAAACCAGCATGGTAATATACTGTTTTGATCTTACACTTGTCATTTAGAAACTTTGAAACTTCCACACATTCGTTTTTTGAAAGGCAGTACACGATCCCAGAGGCATTTTTGAATCGGTCTGACAGTAGCTTTCCAAGCTGCTTTAGAGGCTCTTTACTTTTCTCAATCACTTGATACTTCAAGTTTGGTCTGTCAAAGCTTGTCTCTAAAACAAGAGCATTTGGGATTCTTAAAGCTTTCAAGATATCCTGCATAGAACAATAGGCATTAAAAGATCAACGGTGCATCTAATAGTAAACATAAACCACATGATGAGGAATACCTTACGAACTGCATCCGTTGCAGTTGCAGTCAACGCCATCACAGGAACATCTGGAAAGTTCTGCTTTAGACACCCCAATACTCTATAATCTGGACGGAAATCATGTCCCCATTGGCTAAAAAGGGCACCACAAAACACAACAGTGATAAATAGTGGTTTCTTATTATGACAAGAAAGACTGTCGATGAATCAAGTTGAAAAGACTTCATGAGCACAAGTATAATAAAACAGAGGCCATACCTCACACAATGTGCTTCATCAACAACAAATCCAGCTAGCTGTCCCTGTAAAACAGTTGACAGCGTTCACAACCCAACATCCTGTAATATTATGCTTTCTAAATCTTTGGTGTGACCTATCTTCTACATATCTAGAAGCAAACCTTCCGATGCAGAGATTTTAAGGTGTCTTGAAATGGCAAGTTCCCAGCAATCCTTTCAGGGGTAACATACAAGAGCTTGCATGATGGTTTCTCTCTCCTAAAACATGAAGAAATTTATTTTGTTTGTCATGCTCCATAGATATAATTACTTGACCAGCCAAGTCATATACCAGAAAGTAGAAATATTTGTCCAAAAGTAGTCATAAGAATAAGTAATCACTAACAGTGAAAGAGACTAGGAAAACAACTTTTGGTCTCGTAAACCGAATTTAGAGGTTTTAATGATAGATCCTAATAACGGTCTTGCCTCAACTCTTGGAGTACAACGTTTGCTTGGGAAGTACTTTGTTGTGAATTTAAAAAAGTTGATGGTACTCCAAACTTGAGGTTCAGAGTGATTATCTGGTCCTGGATGAGAGAAAGTAGAGGAGAGATAACAATGGTAACTCCTGGCTGCATCGTTGCAGGTAGCTGCATGATAAGCAAAGAACATGCATTATGAAGGCTGCTTATAAAGTGAAATAGAAGGGAAGTCAGAAGTAAGAATGGGTGGTTTACAAATGAAGTTAAAGAAATGGAAGCAATACAACTTTCTTTTCTTGACCACTCGGCTACATTTCCTATTGTCCTATCAGACTTGATATATGTTGGTCAAGTGCTTGGCTTTTCTTTACCTCTTCTAGCTTTGGGTTGGCAAAAGAACAAAACAACTAAATATGGGGAAACAATTTATTTTATATATAGCAAGACGTGTTTGTGTTTACAAGCACAAAGAAAAGAACCAACTTGTGTTTCCATGAAAGTAAAGCTTATCCAAAGGAAGAACACACATTTCCAGCAGCTTCTTTAAGAAATACAGATCAGAATGTTTGCAAACTCAAGAGCTAAAACAGGATCACCAGTGAACCTCAAATCAATTTAAGGTTTGTAGTTTTGGCCAAGCCATTTGCTGATCGTCAAAATAAGATAACAAAAGGAAATTATCACACAGAGAAATAGATAAACATATATATATAACCTGGTAACATAGACTTTTACCACCACCCGTGGGCATAAGAACAAAGCAATCACGCTTCTCCACAAATGCTTTACAAGCTTGATGCTGCAAGGGACGAAATACCGTATTACCAAATATCACGACGTTTGCCAGTTCAAGATCATCTAGTGACTTCAACTCTTCATAGCTAAGAGTTCCATGTCCATCATTTGATGCCGGGGAGCAAGTCTTCTCACCGAAAAACGATAAAACTGAAGTTTGTATAGTTTTGCTCTTGCCATCCTACAAAAGGTACCAAAAAATCAACGTACATGCACCTACATGGTAAATAAGTTTCTCTAGAAACCTACCCTGTTCTAGAAAACCTAATTACAGACTTTACAGTAATATTTCGTCAACCAAACCCTCCCAATTGTGGTCTTTGTCATAAGAATATTTTTTGGTTGTTATGATTCTGCAGAAGTACCAAGTTCTTGAATCATAACTATAAGTAGTTTGCCTACAACAACTAAGCCAGACGCATAATAAATACACTTTCTGATATGGCCCCCAAACAGTTGGAACATTAAAAAAGTGTTAACCATATACATAATGCTCAAAGATATGATAAACCACGAATCTTTCACCTTGTTTTTTGAAGTGCTTTTATCTAAACGTGGGAGCCTCTGGCTGGTTTTATTACAAGATGAGGAGTATGTAGATTTTGTATCCTTCTTGCTTGAGATATTAAAGTCTGGGTCTTCATCTTCACTTGTAGAATCCAGATGCATCAAGTTTTGATGTTTCTGAACTTCCGGGGACTCCTTTAGTACATGTACAAAAGGTCTACCAATGCCATTGCTATTGGTTTCATTATGTCTCACTGAATCCTCATTAAACAGGTCTTCCAGGGTTCCACAAGCCTCAGTCTCCAAAGCTTGTAAATCATCCCAGTCCTCGCTACCTTGCATAGTTTCAGCAAGTGATGCAAGAAAATCATCACCGCAGTAGTCGACAGTGATAAAGTCCCGTCCATCATTGCCTACACAATACATTAGGAATATTAACTCATTAAATTTGCCCCATCTTAGTTCTAGGTTTCAAAAGTCTGCTCCATAGTTTATGGAAAAATTCAGAATGCCAGAAGTGTAAAGAACAAAAAATGAGAGGTTTTCTGCTTTGGATAAGACCTTCAAGAGGAGCAGATATATTATAACAAGGAACAAATTTTTCCTCCCAACCCAATTCTTCTATGAAACAAGTAGACCAGAATAACTAGCTTCTAGTCCAACTAGCTAGCTCCAGCCCAAGCCTCCAAACCAAAGCTATCATCACAAAAGAGTCCGCAGTTATTGGAGGTTCATGGTAAACATGTAGGAAGACTTGGAATAGGCCTTTAATAAAACATATGCTCAATGCTTGATAGTGTAGCTGATGTTGGATATCTAATAGAAGGGAAGAAAAAGGAAGATTGCTGAGGTCCACATGTGGGGTTGTCCTGCTTATATACGTTGCAGTGAAAGTGAACTTATTAGTCCTATGTTTCACACCACTAGACATAAGTTATGAACCAAGTGCTTATACTTGAAAGCCCAAACACATTAAATCTTAACCTAGAATAAAGACTACCCACAGACTTTGCCAATAATTTTGACATCACCAGCTTTTTTCCCTCAGGAATAATAAAGAGAAACATGTAAGCAAACTAATATTCTTTGCACATAATAAGTAGAAAAATGAAAACGATGTTTTTAGAAAATCAAACTAAAAGCTATAAACACAATAGAGTGCATAAAAAATCACTAAAAACAAACACTTGCTACAATCAATACTAAGGGTATGTTCTCCATTGGCCAAGAAATCACGGACAATAACAAGACATGAAGATTTCATTCATCGTTTATCAAACAGCATTCAAATTAACGGCTAAAAAACGTTAACACGAAATCACGCAAATAGAAGTAAGTAATATACGAATCACAGTAATCCATTTCTAGGGTTTAAAGTGAAGGAAGCAAACATATATTATTTAGTTAAGGGTTTAAGGATCACCGTAGAGATCAACAAGACGATCTAAGCAAACGCGAGCAGATTCTTCATCGAATCCAAACTCAAGAGCCAAACTTATCAACCTTGCTTTTTCAATCTCCAGATTCTCCATTCTTTTTCTTTCTCTTTCTCTTTCTCCAGTGAAGTGAAAACCTTCCCGCGCTTCTTTAACACATACTTTAATTAAGCCCCTGAAATAGTTTTCAGGAATTGCAGTTGAGCCATTCTTCAAGGTTTTAAACACTTGCATTTTGGTCATTGTTTAATTAAAGTGAATTACAATTTTAGTCCTTGTAGTTTACCAAAACTTTGGTTCTCCTCCCTCAGCTTCAATAACTACATTGATGCCCCTGGGGTTTGCATTTTGCTTTGGTTTGGGGAACATAGGCTAACGGTCATTTGTCAGTCACATGAGGAGTATTTTTGATATTTTTCATGTTTTTAAATATAATAATTTTATGTACAAACTCTTAATCTAAAGTTCGAGCCATCAAATACATTAAAACTTAAAACTAAAAAACATCTAACTTAATATCCGGTTCATATATAAATCCACCGTCAACGCCAACTAATAATATCCCACCCATCTATCTCCTTTGGTTCATTAATTGCCTCAATTTTAAAATCCGGACAATCCAACAAACCAAAAATGGAATTGGAATTGGAATGAATTTGAAATGCAAATCTCACAAATCCATTCCTTCAAACCAAACGGGGCGTTAGTCCTTTCTCATGATGAAGATCTGAAAATGGATTATACAAATTCCAAATCCTGGTTTTTGCAACAATGAAGATGCAGTCAAATTCAGGCTGCCCACGCTTTTTACTTAGGAATCCGAACAATTCAAACCATCTCCATGTTTTCATTTTGTCGATTGGTTTGAATTTTTTTCAATAATGAAAGGAAAATGATTGGTGAAATGATTGTAAACAGAAAATAAATTGGAAATAGGATCTTAGGCGATTATGAATGTAAGGGTACAACCTCCCAATCTGTAAGTACAATATTCCAGTACACAAGAAATGGCTAAAAGATTTGCATTCCACGTAAACAAATTAGAACAAAGGTTTTAAAGCCATCTTCATCTTGTTCATCATAGTTTAGAACTACGCTGAGGCTTAGTAAACATATCATTGAGCGGTGTTAGACGCTTCATGGTTATGTGATTAGATATACAGTGTGCAAATGATGTGACTGTGACAGATGAAAACAAAGAGCTTGAATTTAATGAAAGAGAAAGGCGTGATTCATCAAAAATCATGTTAGCAAAATTCTGTTGTTGAAAGAAAGCACCATCTTCTCAATGATGTAAATTCTCAGCTCCTTATGTCTTTAGCAGAACCTCACCTAAATTGCTTGAAGATAAAACTTCATATGAATTGGTTTATGGAAAGATTCCAGATTATGCTTAATTAAGAACATTTGGTTGCTTGGCCTTTGCATCAACTCTCATAAAATCCAGACGCAAATTCAAATTCAGTGTTTCTAGTTGGAATGAAAGCTTATCATCTTTTTGATCTCAATCATAACTCTCAGTCTGTGGAGGTTGATGATGACATATTTTCAAGAGTTGTTCTTCCAATAGCAATGGATGAAAAAATGTTGATGGTATCCATTCTTCAGCCGCATTCGGAAAACACAAGAGTTCGACATTCTTGGAGAACCTCGTGGTGCTTTTTGAATGAAGCTGATGTTTTGCGAGTTTGTACCATTTTTGAATGAAGTTTTTGATGTCTATAAATTTGTATATTAATGTTCTGGTAATGCCTGAATTTGTTGTAATTTTTCTTGTTGAAGATTGAGGGAGGGAGGGAGGGAGGAAAAAGACTAAATCGTCTTAATGAAAATGACCAAACTACCTTCAAGCGACTTGGGACATAGTTATTGAAGTTTGGGTAAATCACAACTCATTCAATTAATTCAAATGGGATAAAATCGATCAAACCGTCACCAAGTTTGATTTAATTCTTATTTAGCGTAACAAACTTATCTCGATCGCCTCTCCCTTCACTAAACCCTCTTTCATCTCTTATGTTGTGTTCTGAAAACTTTTTTTTTTATGATGGAAAGTAAAAATACTCGTCTTCTTAAAACTTTTTAGCAGACAAAAGAAAGGAAAGGGAATGAAAATAACGATAAGTTTCCTTCCAAAACATTCCGTATATTTTGGTCGTATTTGCCGGAAAATTCTATTGCAAAACATGTGATAGTTGTGCACAAATGATGTTTATGGCGTGATATTGAAAAAAAAAAGACAATGAGATCAATGACTGAATTGTATTGGGAGGATCTAGTCACTAGACAATCTATTGTACTGCGCTACTTGTGGTGCACCAATGTGATAGCCGACTATTCAACTGCATAGTCAAGATCCTGTCCATGCTCACAAGTTAGGAGGATTTAGTCATTAGACAATCTATGGCTCTAAGTTGTTTATGATACTGAAAGCACCACAATCAGCATAAAGCAATAAATTGTCTAGTGAGTAGATCCTCCCAACTTGTGAGCATGGAGAGGTTTGATTGCAGTTGAATAGTCGGCTATCACATTGCAAAAGTTTGTTGAAGGGCTCATCAAAAACTCCTGGTCGAAATACAACGGTATGTCCTGGAAAAACAACCATTAAAAAATTAATTCAATCTACATTTAATAGTATGTATGTTATAAAATAAACAGTTAGGGACCGTTTATCAAACGCTTAGCATGTAAGTCTTTACTGGGTCATTTACCTTACTAGATGAATATCGCAATAATCTTACCTGGTAAGAGGCAAGACAAGGAATGGGAGTTTTACCCGGTAAGAGATGGGGACGACTCTGATCGGTAAGCGCTTACCAGGTAAGATTATTGCATATGATGCCACTTTAATGGCCAAGAATATTACCCGGTAAGGTTAGTGAGAGTGGTGACTCTTACAAAGCGTTCTGATAAACGGTCCCTTAGTTTCCGGAAGTTTAAGGTACCTGCACACCGGAGCTTGACTTGGGTGAAATCATCTGGGCCCCCATTCGGTATGCTTTCCGGTCTCAAAATCGACTGTACTCCAGTTGTTCATTCAACTGCAAGAGACAATATCCATGATGAATAAAAATTCATAAAAATTAAAACGACACAAATAGATGGAATGAAAAAGACAAACAAAGGAATTAATGGCAGATATTGTCTTTTAATCTTCTTTTTCAGAGATCTATGAAGAATTCTTCCTTCCGTAATAATAATGTTATTTAGTTTTGATACATTCATAATCAAAAGAATGTTAACCTTTCAACAAGACAGCAGAAACATTGGAAGCCTTCAACTTCGTCACTGCAAGTTGATCATATGATGCCTTTCTAGTTGCTTTTCTGCATCAAGAAATCAATTCTAGTTGCTTGATTTTAAACTCAACCCAACTGAACCTCCTTGCAGAAACAAATCTGAATAAAAGCTTTTGTTGCTATACGCATAATCCATTAAAGAAAAGAAGGGTGAGATAGAAAGAGAACCTGTGGATTTTGATCAGGTTCACTTATGCAAGGAGAGCCAAGGCTATTTTAGGGGCCGTTTACCAAACACTTACCTGGTAAGCATCTAGCGCTAACATTCAACACTATCATTTACTTACAGGGTAAGATTTTAGTCAACAAAAAACGACTTTCTATGCAACAAATTACCCGGTAAGAGCTGACCGTGGTAAGAATCATTGCCCTCACTTACCGGGTAAGACCCTAGGTCCTTGCCTCGCTCTTACCGGGTAAGATTCATGGTCCTTTCCATATTCATCTGATAAGGTAACGTTACTTGATAAGCACTTACTCAAGTAAGCATTTGGTAAACGGGCCCTAATAGTTTAAAGGTTGCCGGTATGAGATAAGTAAAATAAGGCTCAGGGCTTTTGGGTAATTGTTTTTTTTTTCTCGTTAAGTGGCGTACAGGTTGTGTCATGAGGTGATTTGGGTGGGATCTTTTTGTTGAGAATGAATCCTGTGTACAATTACCATAAAGAAAACCAAAATCTTTATGATGAAAACAAATTAATTTAGGCAGGATTAGTGGAAACAAACTAAAAGTACACCCACCAATGTTAATTCTAACTCCTTAGATGAAAATGCAGATTGCAAGATTTTGGTTGGACAAAAGGTCTACTAATTAGTTTACTGAGGATTCAGTGAGACATAATGAAACCAATAGCACCGGCATTAGTGGGCCCTTTGTTCAACCAAAATCTTGAAATTGCCATTTTCACCTAAGAAGCTAGAATTAACTTTGGTAAGTGTAATTTTAGTTTGTTTCCACTTTTCCTGCCCAAACTGATCTAAAGATTTTGGTTTTCTTAGGGTAATCCGTACACAGGTTATTTCTCTCTTTTAAACTTTCCTCTTTTCTTTAATAAGTTGAATGTAAGATTTTATTTGAATTGTTGTTGTAAATATTCTATAGAAAGTGAATCCAATTGGGTTGACTTTTAAGGACATCGCTATTTTACATAACAAGCTAGAATCAACTTTGGTAGATGTAGTTTTGATTTGTTTCACTTTTCCCACCCAAATTAATTTGTTCCTATCAAAAAGATTTTGGTTTTCTTAGAGTAATCCGTACATATGTGGAGAAGTTGTTTTTTGGAATGTCTTGAAAATGATAATATTTAAAATTTACGGGTATTCATTTATTAGTTTAATTACAAAATTTTATTTTAATTTACATAATTTAAAAGGCAAACTGAGGGACTTAATACGTGATTGCCAGTTGGAGTAGGTTACTTTATTTTATGCAAGTACCATGTATATTTGATATTTGTAAGGTTCTCAAACAAAAACGATCAATTAACAGGAAACCTGATCAAAACTAGAAGAGTTCCCTTTGAAAGCTTCATGTTCCATGGCTATCCTGATGAGCTTGATAAGATTGCAACAGACAACTTTTGCTCAAGTACCTGAGAGATCATGAAATATAGTTTAGTAGACAAATCATATTGACAAAACCAAATTGTGATAATATTACCTTTTCAAAGTGATCCAATTCTTCTCTCAATTCCACATCAATGGCTGCTGGTATAGACTGAACAATGTTTGCTCCGCTAGTGTCCCTGATCACCTATAGATTTTGATATTGATCAAAGCATTTAGACAGATTCATGCAATCAGAACTTACTACACCAGAGTTTCTGTCCTATAAAAACCAAATTATATATATTCACAAGTGAAGTAGAGAGAGATTATTAATGAATCAGCTATATGTTGTGTGCATTCACAGCTGATCTAAATGACAAAACACAAGGTACACATTGAACAAGTCCACAAGAAGAAGTTGCTCCATGCTTTCTGAGACGACTCCATCATTACTGTACTAAAAGTACACACATGATATGAAGGTCAAGTTTCATATTAGGTTTTATCCTCGCATTTCTTTATAAGAAACCATTCTAAAGAAAGAAAAACAATTGTAAAAGATAAATATGAAAATGCCATATATCGAATTATTCTATGTCCTTTCTAGGACATAATAACTTCAGCATCCACACTACTAAAAGGACTTTGTGGCATCTCCCTAGAGTATGTGGGCAGACTTTCTATAAGCTGTAGACAAAAGTTGCAATAATTGATTATTTACCAACTTGAAGCCTTCAAGAGAATGTGATAAATCAACGTCTTGACTGCTCAGAGACTGATATTGCTTTAGAACTGCAGACAAACGGATGATTATACAAAGAACTCTGAACTTATGCTTCATCTGTACAGGAAAAATATTTGGTAAAGGTCAATGTTTTGCGTTTATATCAAATTAGTGACTCTTCTTTCACTAAACATAGAGAGTACCTCCTCTGTGAATTCACTTAGAGGATCATGATCAAGTTGCAAGAATTTCTTTCTGTGATGCCTTGCGAGCAATGCGATTAACTGAAGAAAGCATATATCCCAGGTTGAATGAATGTTTATAATTCATCAATAAATATGACATGAAATAAGAATGCAGGCAATGTACCTTAACCTCTTCAGTACTATATCCATGAAGATGCTCCCCATTCCGTTGACATATACAATTTTCAACACTACTCTTTTAGTCAAAACTAGATTAAGTTCATAAAATAAATAAAGAAACTTCTCATACTGATGAACATACGTTGACACAATTTAGGACCAACTTCTTCCTCAATGTCACAGATACACTCTATTGCAGTAACAAACAATAACAAGCAGCAATTACCACCACCAATACTAAAAAAGGAAGATAATATTTGATAAAAGACTAATGTCACGGCCATCAATATGCTGGCAATACTTCAAGAAGAATATTGTGGCATTCCTACAATTGTAATTTGAGAAACTGACTTTTAAGGAAGGAACCATCGATACCCTGTTTGTTCGTTGCCTAACTTAAGTTCAATTGAGCTTTTGCGTTTCACGTAACCCAATTTTGAAGTCAGAACATAATAATGAGTAATCATGTTAAGCACCTAAGATGACTTGAAGAAGACTTTGACAGTCATTATATGGGGTCTTTTTCTTATATTTTCACTTGCTTCCTCGGATTTTATATGCATGTATGCCTATCTCCATGTACACACACCTGTGCATTATGACAGATTTATCTCACATTCTCTTCTTGATAAGTTGATATGATTATAACAAAGAAAATTTTCTTTAACCACATACTTCCTACTAAACAACGAATCAAGAAAACATACCATGATAATATGGTATGATCGCTTATGGTAGCCCTTTTTCCCAGTCACCAACCCAATGTTATGAAGCAAACAAGCAGCTTCAAGATATTCAAGATCCTTGTTATCCAATAAAACAAGTTGATTTCGCTTATCATCAATCTCACTCCACTTCCTTAAACCTGCAAAAATTCCCTGTAAAACCAATTACTCCTGTCGTCATATTTCACATCAGTTAATACATTATATTTTACCCTAAAAATTTCCAGCTTTAATAATACCTGTGCAATAGAAGCACAAGCTGCCGCAGAGGTCATCCTCTTCTTATTGTTGAACCTTGATGCAAGCCGCAAGACCGATCGCCACCTTGCGTTTGCATTCAAATCAAATCCATCATAGAACTCTGCTAATTTCTCAGCAATAACACCCTCTCCCAATGCATAACCAGAGACTTCCATTTCTTTAATCTCAAGCAACCCAAATATCTCTTCCAACAAAATCACTGCGGCCACAATAAATGCTGATCTTGTTTTGAAAAACCCTTTTCTATTGTCCACCTTACCTCCCTCAACCTCACTCTCCTCCTCACATAACTTATCAACAAGACCCCTTAATTCTTCCCTTGTGAACTTCCAATCCCTCCTATACCCTTCAAGTAAACCAATCTCATTCACCAAATCACTGCTATAACCCATAAAAATTGCCTTTTCAATCATCCTGATGGAACCAGAGGAACCAACAGCAATATCAATCTTATGTTGCAAAACATTTTCGATTAATCCTGATTCTTTAACGACATCCCTAATGTGCTCTCTCATTGCCTCAGTGGCCTTGTTTCTAACAAATCTTTGAGTCAAAGTTACATGCCCTAGTTTCAATGAAATACCAAATTTAACTTTACCTTGAAATCCAATAACAAATTCAGTCGATCCCCCTCCGATATCGATTGTAAGAACTGTGTGATTGTAAATCGGATGGAACTGCAAGACACCAAGGTAGGTAAGGCGGGCTTCTTCATATCCCGATACCACGTCGATTTCTAAACCTAGCCTTTGTCGGATGAGTTGTACGAGTTCAGATTGGTTGGAGGATTCGCGGATGGCGGAAGTGGCGACGAGGCGGAGGTGGGAGGAAGGGACGTTTAGGGAGTGGAGGATGTGCTGGAACTTTCGAAGGGATTCGATGACGCGGAGCTGGGCTGAGTAGGATATGGCGGTGGTGTTTCCACCGGAGACGAGAACAACGGGTTCCTTGAGGCGTTGGAGGGTTAGAAATCGACCGGTTGTAGGGTCAGCTCGGACAATACGGAGTTTGGAAGAGTTGGTCCCCAAGTCGATGGAGGCGAAGAGGTGGTTGTTGGCGGATGAAACGGTGGCGAAAGGTAAAATAAGTGGGTTCATCGCCATCGTTGTGCAATCACAGATTTGCTGTGTTTGGCGGTAGGAAGTCCGCGTGACATTAACCGTAGACGCACAAACTTTCCATTTCGGACATGACACTAAAAAAGGAGACGCCGTCCATAATTGTTATCTTCGTTTATTGTAGTCTATTGTACGTATTGATAACGAAAATTTTCTAAAAAAACACAACCAATTATCTTATTTAAATGATTATAAAAAAAGTATTTGTGTAATGCAATAAAATACATCTTAATTTTAATATTTTATTTTATTTTTTGTCAAGATAATACGATTTTATATGGTTTGAGAAAATAATAATATTTTTATTTTTAAATAAAATATAAATTTAAATATATCATAAAAATTTGGGAAAAAGTATCAAATTTACTATTTAAAAATTCTCGTTTTTTATATAGTTTATTTAATTTATTTTTTGTTATAATTTAATTTAGGTTCAATCACGAAGTAATTTATTTTTGATTTAATAATATATTTTTTTACAAATATAATAATTAAGTATAGTGTTAAAACTCAATAATTATCGTAATTATCTTTTATATTTTTTTATATATTTAAAATGAGATATTTATCATGTATTTGATTTTTATTATCTGTAGTTAGTTACATGGATTCAAAAATGAAGTTTAAATAAGTTTGTTAAAATTTTAAGTAATATACATCAATAAACAGTAGTTTATATACAAAAAATGATTTTTAAGAGTTTTTGTCAAATATTTTATAATGTAGTATAGATTAGGTAATTAAATTATTTTTTAAGTCACTATACTATTTTTTTTGAATGAAAAAATTATTAAACTTTCACATTTTAAATGAAAAAGTTTTTGGACATTTTTTGTAATAAATAAACAATCATGCAACATTCAGAATTTTAGGTGATTTCATGCCTTTATATTCCACTTGCTATTTTAATCTTCTTTTATCAAGTTCCGTCGTTAGGAAATGATACGAAGTGAATTCTATAGTAAGTTATAAGAAAAAGTGAATTGGATAGTCAAATCAGTGCTCAAAACGAGTTTAAGGGCTTGAAAACCCGCTTTAGGATCTTTATCCCCTTCCCTGTTTTGAGTGTTCTTCATTCTCCACACATTTTCTTTCATCATTGTCTTAGGTTTTGGATTCTTTGAGGTGGAGAAGATCTTTTGAGAAGTTTTGGAGCTAGAATTTGAAAGATTGCTTGTAGATCTCAAGTTCCTTTAAATGAAGCTCAAGGTTCGGATTGGTAACCTAAATTAAGCATAAATCTAGTAAAGTGAGTTCAAGTTGCTTTGTGAAAACTTTGTACATACTAAAAATGTCTATCTTGATGTATTAAAATATTTTCCTTACTATTTTATCAAATGTGTTAAGTATTGGATGAAGTTTACACACTTGGTACATCTGGGTTAATACATCTTGAAAATGCATATATTTGGGATCTTTGAGTATTTGTTATATAAATCACAAGTGTGGGTTCTTTCAATGATTTATCTCATAAATAGGAAATTATTTGGTGATAATGCATTTTTAGTGCACTCATTTTGAAAATCGCATATTGTCATGCTACGGATATTTTGGAAATATAAATGGTATAGTTTTTAATTGGAAAACGACTTGTTCCAAATTCTAGTAATTGATGGATTTTGAGTTAATCATGTATTTGGAGCATATATTTGCATAAATGTCGATTAAATGCTTTTTTTATTGTTGTGATGACTTTTATTTAATGGTCAATTGAATTGTTAATCTTTTGGCTTGGTTTTGACTTAATTGAGTCTTGAGGACTTTAGTTCGATTTAATTGCTCTATATCGAGCTTTTGGAGTTACATGCATTTATGGCATATTTATTTGTAAACTTATATATTTTGAGTGTGTTGGTTACTCATTCGGGGTCATGTAATTTAGACCGCAATGCATTGTATCTACATGCATGTGAGTTAACCTTTGTTAGTGGTTGTGTAGGGATTTAGGGGGTTAGACTTCGGGACCCTTGTTTAGAGACATTTGGCCTAGTTGAGTAGACACTAAGGACTTGAGACTTGAGGTGCTACCAGTGAGGGGTAGGCACTAAGGACATAATTCTTGAGGTGTTACTCCAAAGAGTATGCACTAAGATTATTGAGTCTTGAGGTGCTACCAAAAAGGGTAAGCACTAAGAATTCTACAGCTTGAGGTGTTACCTTAGAGGTAGACACCAAGTGTGCCGAGCCTTGAGGTGTCATTCGTTTGGATAAGGCGTTAAGGTCAATTGAATCGTGAGGTGTTTCTTGATAACAATGATGTGTGGCTTACTTTATGCTCGTCACTTTCGACGGATACGGGTCTCCCCTGTCACTGTTAGGTGTTATTTTTGGATAATATATTATCCATATTTTGGTATTGTTTTGGGTTTGGAGAGTAATCACATTTTATGGTATATTGGATCTTCTCCATATATTATTGTTTTGGATAATGAAGTTTTATCCATGTCTTTGGTATTTGGATATTAATCCTTATTTGTGTTTCGTGTCAGTATTAGGTTTTAGTTTTATGTATGATAGGTGTTTTGATTAAAGGGTTTTCGTCACGAAAAATGGTGGATTTTGGAAAATATATCACTTTTTATCCTAAACACATTTCATATTGAAAATTGTGATTTAAATAATATTTTTTCCGTTTTACCGTTTTATATAATTGATGAAAACTGCTTGAACTCACTAGCGTTAAACCTAACTTTTTTCTTTGTCAGCATGTACATCAGTTCCTTGGGAATGATACTAGCGAACTGTGAAGTGACAAGTGCTAATTAAAAGCACGAGAAGGATTTATCAATCCGGGGGACATCCTTCGTATGTTGGAGATAGCGACTATTGTTGGGTTTTAGTAACCTCGTATTTTTATTATAGATTTGTACAAGATTTGGAATATATTACGTTAATGTTAAAAATTAGATTGTTTGTTGGTCCCAGTTGATCTACAAGAGTTTATAGGTAACAGATTGTAGAAGGGAGGGGGGATGAATACAAATACAACAGCTTTCACTTTTAAAAAAAACTTATATTGATACTCAGGGATAAGGCTTGTTTCAATGACTGAAACCTGTTGAGAGGTAACAATCATCGACTTGGTTGGCCTCCTATTGGCTTTCTTGGCCCTCAATGAAGGACCAAGATGGGCTTGAGAGGAAGTCCTCTTAGAGAATATGGAGGTGGTGGTTGGGATAGACTGAGGGGGATTTGCCTCAGTCATGACCACCTGGGAGAGAGAAGAAGTAGAAACAGAAGGTAGGCAGGGAGAGCCATTTGCAATAGCCAGCATTGGCACAAAGAGGCCAACATCTATAGGTTTAGACTTGTTGTTGATCCTCTCTCATTGATTTGATGATAATCTTTTTTACCTATCAAAGTATAGTGCTTCTGCTTATTCAGTTTTGGCGACCATCACTGAGTCTGTTCAATGATTGCTGAAACATGCATTATAACTCTCCAGTGACTTTATACTTCAAGATGACAAAACTCACACCAAAGAACCTTCAGCAATGTCAAAGACATAAACTAAAGATTAGAGACTAGTGCGTTCGTGATCTGAAGCGGCATTCAGTGGTTACAAACTAGTCAGCATATGTGTGAAGACGACACAAGCCTCAACGAATACTGAAAAGACCTCCAACGTCATCCCAACATTCAGCGATCAAATGAAGCTTACAATGCACGTTTGTTTTTGTCTTGTCCTTCCATACACTAAGGAAAACCCATACCTTTTCTAGAGCACAATACAAGATGGAGCCAATTAGTTGACTCTAGTACTCACCAACTCTATGAAAAGATGTCTGCTCATGAATAGACAAAATGACTATTCACTGTAGCAAACGACAAGCTTTCCTCTAAAAGCTTGACGCGTATTGTGTACCTTCTGAATTGCATTTAATGCAATGAGTATAAATAGTTGAGTGCTCTTCACTCTGAATACATGCAATTAGAATTTGTCTTTTTTATTCTAAGAAGCATACCCAAGAAGAAACCTCTCTCTCTCTACTTTCTCTGTAAAGAGAAAGAACCACTTTAAACAAGTGAAGAACACATTTCCATGTCTTACTTTCTTACAGCAAATATTTTCTATTTGCTAAGTATATTTGTGTGTACCTCTAGATTGTTTATATATTTTTTTCTTTTCCGCAAACAATCCGTAAAATTTGTATTTATCCTTCTTTATCAATATATAATTTTAAAAGTGAAAGTTTATGTGTTTGTATTCATCCCCCCCTCTACAAACTGTTACCTATAAACTCTTGTAGATATGGCTGAGACCAACAAGTGGTATCAGAGCAGACATTGATTTTTATATTGTTTTGTTATTTTATCGGCATCTTATTATCTTCTCTTCTCTAGATAATTTATTCATTTACAAATGGCTTTACAAAACACTAGCACTCACTTTCAGGACAATGGCTCTCTTGCCAAACCTCCCCATTTCATAAGAGACAACTTCAGTCTCTAGAAGAGTCGGATGTCTGTCTTCTTGGAAGGTGTGGATCCTGAGATTCCATACTATAGAAAATGGACCCTATGTTCCATATGTTCTATCTCCAACTGTTCTTGTAACTGCCGCGATTCCTGAACGGAAGATTCCAAAGCTCCTTCATCAGTGGAGTGTTGAAGACAAGAAGAAGATGGCTTTAGACACTCGTGTGAGGTCTATAATAGCCATGTCTCTTCCTGACAAGGTATATCACTCCGTGATGAAACTCAAAACCTCGATATCCATGTGGGACACTCTCTGTGTTCAATATGAAGGTACTTATGAAGTACAAGAATCGAGGAAGATTAACTTAGTAAGATAATATGAAAGCTTTCTTTATGGAAAGAATGAATCGTTGTTTGAAGTACATAAACGCTTTAATTGTCTTCTTATCGATTTGAGGATAGTTAGAAGAAGATATTCCAACTCTGAGACTCTGACCAAGTTTCTTGAATGCTTGACAGAATCATGGGATCGATATACCATGTATCTCAAGATGTCCAAGGACATCCTCTCTCTCTCTCTCTCTTAGCTCTCTTTATGGGATACTACTTAATCATG